TATCAGAACTTTCTAATGCCCGAACGGCGATCAACGGCGTTAGGATTATTTGAGCAAGAAATAAGTTAGGAAATTGGTTAAGTCCTACGAAACAGGCCGAATCCCGAATGGCGAGTAAATCATGCATTAAAGACAGAAAAGATAGTACACAAAATTTCATGCAAAAAAGAGATATATATTCATCGGCTCTACTGACCGGGAAATACAGTTAAGGTTTGTTGTAAAGAAAGAACAAAAAGGGGTTACAGTTACTAAGATACTAATCTATTGCCCTGCCCCATTGTCTTCTTCATCACCCTCCTCATCCGAATCAGTAAGGGGATCAGGCTCCTTTCCCGCCTCCCGATCAGCAGCCCGTTGTAAGTCTCTTTGATATTTCTCATATTGAGCTTCGACTATGGGCGCCTGAGGGAGATCAGTAAGCTCGACCGGCCTCCCTAGCAATTCTTGGAATTTGGCGATAAAGGGAGCCATGATGTGCTGACAGCCATGACGTACAGAGATCGAGCCAGGGAATCATTAAATTTTTTCCCCCTGGGGTCCTGATCGAGCAATTTGACCCCCTCGCTCCGACGGGCGTCACCCGTGGAAAAATGGTCAAGATAATCACCAAAGGTGACTGGGAGTTGCTGCTGTGCGAAATCTTTCTTCAAAATAGCAAACTTATCAGACCCTTTAAATGACTCCCGAACGGCGGACAGGTCAACCTGTATTTCAGCAGGGCCGTCCGGGATGCGAGGGGCATGCTCTTCGAATTTAACCAAGGCTTCTGCAGCATGGACCTTGGACTGAGAAACTCCGAGTTGAACCTGAAGCTCGCCAAGCTCCGATTCAAGACGTTTCTTCTCCTCAGTATGGACCTTCCGCTCGGCCTCCAGGGCAGCAAAAGCAGCTGCTGCATTCTGCTCCGCAGAACTCTGAGCAACGATCAGCTCCCGCTCCTTGGCCAACCGAGCTTTCTTCAGCTGCAGGCTATAAAGCCCAACCTGCGGAATGACATTCAGGGAATGAAATGGGGAAGAGAAATTGTAGATTAAGAAAGATTTAAACTATGGAATGGCAAGATACCTTCAGAGCTGCCAAGGCAAGGCATTCCTCGGACTGCTCGATCGATAACTTAGGGACGGTGAAATTGTTGAAGAAGGCGGAGGTAGACCAGATCTGACTTGCCGAACAGCCACCTCTTTCCACAACATCATGAACCGGATCCGCCAGGGAAATCCGGTCAACCTGGCCAGATAACTGAACGGTGGGTGTTTCACCCGTACCCTGGCCGGCTTCTGGAGCAGCTTGAAAATGCTCGGAAAATTGCTGCAGTTGATCAGAGCCAAACCGATCATCGACCAGCATGGCATCGAATTGATCCTGATGGACCTGCTGTATCGATTGTGGCTCTGGAAGCGGTTGAGAAGACCCAGCATCCTGGGCAGGAACAGTAGAGGGAGTAGGTTGGGGGTTCTTCCTGGCCTTTTTTCGCTTACCGACCCCACCAGCTGCCATAACTCTGCTGTTGTCCATAGGTAGATCTGGGTTTGGTGCTGAAAAAAGACAAAAGGACAATGTTAGTATCGAGCGACCTTAGCGTGTGAGAAACTAGAAAAAAGAACAAAAGAACGTTTCTTGCACGGGAAGGACCGCCCGGACCATGGCACTTGGTTTCTCAAAACAAGTAAACCCAAGAGAACGGGCAGTACCTATCCCGGCTGTAATAAGTCGTTCAGGAGTCAGATAACTCATGATGTCCATGCATTTATCCTTCTCCACGGCAAGTATGTCCTTGTAAATTTCTTCAGTAAGGACAGGATCAGGATTCTTGCGAGGGAAGGCATTCCATTTGCGGGGAATTAGGCCGTCCGGGACAGACACGAAGAAAAAACGGTCTTTTCACCCTTTAATTGAAGTTGGATTTCCTTTAAACAGGATGTGTCCCGTTCGGGCACTGGTGGCCAGATAACCGTGGGTTTGTTGGGGGGCTACTTTGAAGAATTGATGGAAGAGATCTAGGGTTGGTTGGGCACCGGCATCTTTGCAACGACAAATGAACCCCGCCATTGCCCGATAGGAGTTCGACATAATCTGGGCCGGTACAACTTCGTAGAAATTGAAGAAAGACATGAAAAAGGGGTGTAGCGGAAATCTAAGGCCGGCCCTAATCGAGTCAAAGTGGACTATGGTCATTCCGGGCCTATGACGCATTGGGTGAAGCCCGGCTTGCAAACGGAAATCCACTGGATCAGGGATAAGGGCCGGAATTTCGCCCCTATTGTGAGAAGTCATTTTTTGCCTCCTCTCCCTAATCAATTTTAGGTCAAGAGTATGGCGAGGAACATCGTTGGGACGTCCGGCCGCCATGGAGGCTATTTCGTCCTCGGATTTGGTGTCATCAGAATCCTCACTGGAGGAAGAAGAAGTGCTAGGGAGGTCCTCCGCCTCAGCCCTGGTATTCGTCTCCGTCTCAGTAGAAACACCGGCAAACGGAACTGGGATGGCATCTACAATGGCGGTGTCACGGTCATCTCCATGAGAGGCCATCTCCGAATCAGAAGAATGCTCTGTGGGGCTCATCTCGATCGAAGCCAGAAATGAAGATGGGGAATCCAAGGTTGGGAAATTACCTGAGCAAGGGAAGCAGGGGGAAATTTGCAGAGGAAACAACGAAGGCCAAGGAATTGCAGAGTCGAAACCCGGAATTGAGGAGTCAAGGGCTAATTTATAAGCCTTGAAACCGCCGTGTCAAGAACCAATCAGAGAGCGACACATCACTAGGGGCATTTAAGCTAGACACGCGTCTAATGAAAAGACTAAACGACGGTTATCATGATGAATATGGGGAAATGAAGCGGCAGCCGTCAAATCGCAGCATGGGGAACTGATTATTTCTGTACCCCGATCGCCATTCGGGGTATTATGACATTGGTATACTTCCTGATGCACTCACTTCGTTCGAGACATCGGAAGTGGGGGACTTGTGTTGGGATATTGGCCTAAAGGCCCAATACCCAGTTCGGGAAGGCCCAAGGTGTCCGGCCCAAGTAACAGGCCCATCACTCTATGATGAAAAGATCCAGTAAGGAGACATACCGAACGGGGTTCAGCCCAAATAAAGGTTGGCCCAATAAGAAGACATACCGAACGAGGTTCGGACTATATATTATACTTGGGCCAATTTGACAGCATCTTCAGTACGGACCAACATCCCGTTCGAGCAACGGCCAACCAGCAAGTGGCCAGGTGCAGTTAATGTCAGACTATGACATCAGCAAGTGGAAGCATGGATGACCAAGTCGGTGGAACAACGGCCAATCAGCAAGAGGCAGCCCATGCTCTCCATTAGTATAAATAGAAGGTTTCAAGTCATTGTAAGGGTTAGCATTTCAATACTCAAGCTCTAGAATAGCATCATTTGCTCTTATTTCTTGTATTAAGGCATAGTTTCCGACTTATCGATCGGGAAATCCCTTGTAATCAGATTGGTTAATTAATACAAGTGAGCTTTCGAGTTTTAGTTAGTTCAGATCTTATATTTTCTCGTACACTTTGATTCTGGGCCATTCCTGATATATCCAAAGTTCGTGTTGGGCTTTCGGATCTACGGGACTTACCCTCAACAAGTTTTTTTCATTTTTGTATTGGATCTACAACCTCTTACGATTAAACCTACTTAAAATAATTCAATTAGATTTCATTTTATTTATTATTAAGATATTTCATTTTTTGTTTAGTTTTTAATTATTTCAGACGTAGGTTGTAATAGATTTATTGTGTTAAGATAAAATATTTAAAGGACATTGAGGTAATTCACCATATCTGTAATATAAGATATCTTTTAACCAAATAAATTAATGTCACATTCTCTTAACCTTAACCAAACACAAATGGGAATAAAGTGAATATATTCCCATCAATCTAACATACCCAGCAATCTCAGATTCTCATGGTAATCTGACATTCCTTGAACCAAACGCACCCTACAGAGTTAGGTGGGGAGGAATTCTCTTCTCCTGCCGGTGTGGATCGGAAAACTTGAATGGGAGATTAAAAACAAATTTTTTTAAACATAAAGTCTAAGGTGATAGGGCAAGGTTTTGGACACAATAATTTCATGTGAAGTAGACCACTGCTCCGATCAATGCTTTATTTTGAAATTGTGGATTATTTTTATTTTGAAGATTTATATACTCCCGTATATTATAACTATTATTAAAAACGTAATCTAAATACGCTAAACATCTGCTTTGTACTATGTGTTACATAGTATTATCAACATTAAGATCAATTAATACTATAACTGTTGTAATTTTTGTTATTATTATAGTGTTGTTATTATTAAGTATATTATTGTTATTATTGTATTTTATTATTAGTATTATAAACAGCATCACTGTTATCATATTTATTAGAGGTGTTTTCTAAAATATTACGGAGTATTTGACTAAAATGACCATAACTATTTTTTTATAATCACTGCAATGTAAATTTCGAATTTAATTATAGTAACTAAAAGTTATTAAATCACATTTATTTCACGATCCTTATTTTAGCCATTTATTAGGTATTGTTTCTTTTTATTAGTATCTTATCATTCAACTACTTTTTTCAATTCTAGTTTTGGAGTAATTGATCAGTTTATATTTGTTACATTTAGAACTCAAAGGGTATTTTTTGTTGCAAATTAGAAAAGTATGATGTTCTTAAATAACATTTTTTAATTATAAATTTAAATCTTTGAAACTACCTCTAGAAAAATTAAAATAAATGATTAAACAATAAACACCTTTTCACGCCTTAATCCCGCCTAAGCCTGCCTAGGCTTCAAAGGCTTAAGGCTCGCTCGTGCTGCCTTGGCATGTCTTACGCCTTTTAGAACATTGATTGGTACACACTCTTACACACTCATATTTGTGTAAGCTTTTTTTATGTTTGTCCCAGACAAAATGTATTTGACAAATACGTTTTGTTTGAGACAGACATAAAAAACGCCTCACATACATAAGTGTCTAAGAATGTGTACAGAAAGTGTGTACCCAAGTCTAATTCATAGCTAAATACTTGCAAGTTTGAGAATCCGCGGATAGTACAGTATGCGAGAAAGAAGTTCTCACCCAACTCGAATTGAGACTGAGGGTCTTAATAGAGCTCAAATTTAGCCTGATGAATCTGCTTCCGGCACTACCTCCACAATCCTGTATGGACAAGCTTTGAAGGTTGGGAGCGCTGGCGACAAACTTAGGAGTACCAAAACACAGGCAGAAAGCCAGCTTCTCGAGCTTGGGCATGCTAAAGACCAGTCCCTTATTATTACCCCAGAACTCAACCCATGTGAAAGCTGACGAAGTCAGCCCGGGGAATATACATGCACCATTTTCCGGCAAGTAAAAATGGAAATGATCAAGTTCCAGTTGCTTGATGGTCTTGCATGAGAGTAGACAGGATGGTACCTTAAAATATTCTGGTGGTGCAGAATAACCAGCAGAGAGGTGAAGTTCCTCAACGCCGTTTCTTGACAGAAAAAGACACCAACTATCCAAATCAGACTGCTTCAGCCGGGGCTTCGAAGAGAAAGAATAGTGAAACGTGAATTTCTTCACGGGTCCAACTCGGAGCATGAGAATCTGGTTTATTGTGCTCACCACAGACAAGCCGTCTTCATTCCCAGCTTTGCTCATGTTTTCGAGGGAGCGGAAGAAGTCCCGGTCAAAGAGGAGCCGGCCTTGGCGGTACCAAGCATCCCTCCACTGAGTCGAAAGCAGAGCACATCTGGCGGCATCTCGAGTGGGCATCCGCTCCAAAATCCTCTCCTTTACCTCTCCCGGCAGTTCGCTGGCTACAGTTTTTCCACGGCTACACATGATGGAGATTTGAACAGCGGACAGAATGTCTAACCGACAGAGAAGGGGAGAATTTAGGCGTTTCCGATTTGTAGAAATGGAAAACTCTAACCGAGATCGGAACAATTTATTTTTAGGGGAGCAGGGAGCTCTCCGTGCATTCTTATTAAAAAAATCTGGCGGAATCAAATAGGGATTCACGGTAGTATAAACTTTTTTGTTCCTTCTTCCATCTTTGGGAACGTAGCTAAGATGACTTTTAATTTGCCCAAGGTTGTCTCTTTAGATTCTCCGGTATAATTGTTTGGTGAAATTATTATTAGGTCATATTATAATTATTAATACAATCCTCCATTTTCAAAAATCAATTAGTTTCCTCCTAAATTTTGATCATTCTCACTATATACCCCCTCACGTTAATATTTGTTAAATTAAATTTAATATACCTCTTAAGTTCAACGAAAGTTGTATTCAAAATTAATTTTTAAAATATAAAACAATTTATCATCATAATTATAAGTCATTGTTGATGATCATTTGTTTTCTACTTAACTACTCGATCGTGGAATAACAATTAATGAGAGTAAATAAGGGGAAAAATTATTTATAAAATGTGTTATCAAAATTCTAGGCATTTCTTCATTATGAATATACAAGTCTTATTTGTAATTCATTCGGTTGAATTAATCGCAATGACATTTCTTTCGTGTGTAGCAGAGAAGAAATACTAAGATTTTGTTATCATTCCATGACCTAAAATATAGGTTTAATATCAATAAGGGACAACAAAATGTGTGATGATTATTCCAATTATTCCATGATCTAAATAATTTAAAGCAATCAATCTAAGACCTAATTTGTGTTTTAATTTTTTTATTAACTACGATCAACAACAATGACTTATAATTATGATACTATTTTGTGTTTTACATCAAAAATTAATTTTATAGACATTTTAAATTGAATTTAAGAATTATATTAAATTTAAATTTAACAAATATTAACGTGAGGGGGCAAAGAATGAGAATGATCCAATCTGAGGAGGTAAGTAATTGATTTTTTAAAATGCAAGATTGCATTAATAATTATGATATAACCTCACAGGGTTAATAGTTAATTTGCCTATTTTAAAACTAGTAATCAAAGCTGCAAACCTTTACTAAATTTTCAGCGGCTATCTTGTTGCAAACTATGCAAAAAGGCAAATTTGTTGCATTTAATGGGAGATTTTAAATTTGTGTATATGCGTCTCTCATAAATATCTGGATAAATAAAGATCAAGAAAGATTGAAAGAGTTGATAAATTTGGAAATCGATCTTTACATTTTGGGAAAATTGTCAAACTGAAATCGGCTCTCGAAGTATACCAAAAAAGTTAATTGAGCCCTTGAACTATAAAAACACTCAATTGAGTCCATGAACTATATAAAAAGAGTTAAATATCTGATTTAGACGGTTGATTCCTCGTTAGTCTTGAAATACCATTTGGTGGAAAGACAATAGTTTTGGGTGGAGATTTCAGACAAATCCTTCATGTCATACCTAAAGGAACAAGGCAAGATATTGTGAGTGCATCTATAAATTCTTCCTATTTATGGCCACATACACATGTTATGCGTTTGACAAAAAAATTGAGACTTCTTCATTTGCCAGCTGATAATCACACACAATATTTGGTCAAATTTTCTGAATGGATTGCAAGCATTGGTGATGGCACCATTGAAGGACCAAGTGATGGTTTTGTGGAGATTGAGATTCGAGATGAGTTTTTGTTAAAGGACTTTGATGATCCTATAGCAAAAATGGTTGAATGTATTTATCCTTCCTTTGATGCCGTTGTTCATAAAGATCCAGATTATTTAAAAAAGAGAGCAATATTGGCACCCACCCTCCAAGTTGTTTATTCCATCAACGATTACATGCTTTCCTTAAATGATTCTGAGATGAAAACCTACCTTAGTTCTGATAGCCCGTGTAAATTAGATTCAAATCCTGACTTTTTAGCGGATATCCATACACCAGAATTTTTGAATGGAACTAAAGCTTCAGGAGTTCCAAATCATGAACTGCATCTTAAAGTTGGAACACCAGTGATGCTAATGAGGAACCTTGATCATTTTCAAGGGCTGTGTAATGGGACTAGGATGATTATTACGAGATTAGGTAAGCATATATTGGAAGCAAAAGTTTGACAGGGTTTAGTGCAGGTGAAAAGGTTTTGATACCGAGAATGTCCTTGACACCATCTGATGTGAGATTACCTTTCAAGTTTGAAAGAAGACAATTTCCTTTGATTGTCTCATATGTTATGACCACAAATAAGAGTCAATGACAATCTCTGTCCAATGTTGGATTAGTCTTGAAAAATCTTGTTTTCAGTCATGGCCAGTTATATGTTGCGCTATCACGTGTCACTGATCCTGCGGGTTTGAAAATAGCTATATGTGATTCAGATGGAAAAATTACCAATGTAACAACAAATGTTGTATTTAAGGAAGTGTTCCGAAGTTTGTAAGACATTTTCTTTTCAAATTCTATAAATATGCATTTACATTTATATTGGGCTTACTACTTCCATCATACTCTTATGTATGTACAAAAAGTTATTAAATTTTAAAAATTATGTCACTATTTTTTTTACTTACATCATATATATTTGAATATAATAATTTCCCGTGCATCGCACGGGTAGAATACTAGTAAAGATCAAGAAAGATTGAAAGAATTGATAAATTTGGAAATCGATCTGTACATTTTTGGGAAAATTGTCAAACTGAAATCGGCTCTCGAAGTATACCAGAAAAGTTAATTGAGCCCTTGAACTATAAAAACACTCAATTGACTAATTGAGTCCATGAACTATATAAAAACAGTTAAATATCTAATTTAGACCGTTGATTCCTGGTTAGTTAACAAGTGACTTTGCTGATTTAGCAGTCTAGATGTCATTTTTTGTATTTTTCTTTTTTCTTTCTTCTATTTTCCTTCCTTTTCTCCTTTCGGCCCACCTTCCCCTTAGTAATAGTGTAGAATTAATTAGTACTACTTATTAGGCAGTATCCTAATTGTATTTGGAGACTTATTTTATTATAAATATATTGTCAAGGCTACCAGTCTGAGTAAGATTGTTTATTATTCTCACATGGTATCAAGAGTCCAAGGTTCCAATTATTATTATTATTATCATTTTCCCCCTAAATGGCTTCCGCTGCCACTGGCTTCTTGGTTGCGCCACCCACCTCGGCCGCACCGCAAGTCGTTAGCCTGCCTCCATCTTCGTCGACGGCGCCGGCTAACCATATTTTTGGGTCCTCCTCCACTATGCAGACCTCTCTCGCCATCCCTTTTCCGATGAACAGAACCGCACAGGATATGTCTGCATGGGTCCCGCCAGTCTTCGATTGGTCGACACCGCCTACTGCGGCCCATCGAACGACTGGCCCATCTTCTTCCGAACACTTATTGCATTGGTTTTTGAGTGTGTATATTTATACTTTTAATTAGTTTTTACGTTGTGTTGTTGTGGTAAGTGCACATTTAGGGTGCAATCATTTTATTTTTCTAGTTTGTTGTAATTTAGTTAATTTAGAATCATCTTGAGCTAGAATCAATCAAGGATCGACAAAGGATCATGAAAGGGATAAATCCTACAAGATCAAAGGAAGGTGCAAGGGAGCAAGAAATCATGATAAAAATGTGATATGGTGACTTACCCGGTCGGGTAGGCTCTTTATAACCCGGTCAGGTATGAGTTGAAAACGGAAGTTGTGTGGAAATTGGGCACATACCCGGTCGGGTATGGTACTTTACCCGGTCGGGTATGAAGTGACCCGGACAAAAAGACGTGCTGAAAACACAACATCGTGGGCAAATATTTGATTTTGACCGATACCCGGTCGGGTATGTACCTATACCCGATCGGGTATCCGGCCAAAGGTGTTGAAAACACCTATAAATAGCACCATTTTCCTTCACTTTTAATCATCCCTTCTTTCATATACTTAAGCTCAACTTAGAATAGTATTTTCTTTATATTTTTCTAGTATGTTTAGTCTCCAAATGAGGAGCTAAACTTCCATTTCTTGGATTTGCTCTTGAAGCTTGTTGAATGTTAAAGTTGTGAGTTATTTTTTTACTTCTTCCCTTGAATATTAATTCTTCCCTTATTCTATCTCTATACTAATGTTGGAGAGTGTTGCTAAGATGACAATTACTTAACATCTTGACATTAATTACTACTAGAAACGATCAATGAACCGATGGTTAATCATTGATGGTTTCACAAGTAAGTAATTTCGGGTTATTAATGCATGGTCGTGGTTAATAATCTTAAGAGGGATTAATTGTGTTGGTTAAACCAAAACCGTTGTGTTGAGGTTATCAATCTCAATTGATTTCATCAGGGAGTTAAGAGATTAAAGCTACTATCAAGTCGGTATATGGCGGTGTTCTATACATGGCTAATAGTAAAGGTTATTAATGCACGGTAGTGGTTAATAACTACCCTCGATGAATTGGAGATACTTTCGATTGAGTATTCGAGAGGGGATAAGTTATAGATATAACCGAGATCAACAAACATATCAACAAGTGGAAAGTAGCAAAACCAAGTCTTTTATCTCATTAATTAAAATTCATAAATCGTTCATCATTGTATTAAATTAATTAAATCACTCAATCTCGAAAGCCCCCTTTTATTTACTAGTTAATAAAAAGAAACATATTTCTTTCTCTGTGGATATGAACTCTACTTCACTATACTACGTATAAGTGCTAGTATTGAATTTAGTTTGACGCACTATGACAAAGTGCTCGTCAAACACTCTGCCACGCTTGACCATCCTCGTGTTCAGTTTGCGGGTCCCACCTTGTCCGGTCAACATGGCTTCCAGATCTCCTGAAGCTATTGCTCAATCCATGAGTTTTTCAAGACCAAACATTACCAACATCGTTACTACCAAGCTTGATGCAGTTGAAGATTATCTTCCCTGGCGAGCGCAATTTGAGTCATTCTTGGTGTCTCATGGACAGGTGAGTATTCTCAATGGTACAATTTATGCTCCACCTTCCTCTACTTTTAATGCTCTTAGGAGAGAAATTTTGAAAAAGTTTATCAAAGTAAACATTATGCAAACATTATGGAAAAAGTGCTTTTTACTTTTTCATGATATTTGCATAATTTTTCCTTTGGATATCTTGAATCCTTTTCGTTTTTCATTAAGGTTGTTGACATACACTTTATCATGAGGTGCACTTAAAATAAATACAATACAA